CTTTTGTTCTCCATTCTCCTCCTGGGATGAAAATGAAGATGCCAATTCCTATAGCTGTTTAATTGGGTTGAAACCTGGAATTTTGAAGTGTTAAAAAAGCATCTGAATATATTCTTGGTCCTGCAATAAGAAGATCGTGTTTGATCTTCTTATTGACAGTGCAAGATATTGAGAAAAGGTTCATTTGGGACCTAGTGGTGATCTATGGTGAGGCACAACCAGAGAGGAAAGTTTTGTTCCTGGCTGAGCTATCCAGAGTTTTCCAAAATTCTATCAACCCTATTTTGATTGGAGGGGACTTTAATATTATTAGAAAAGCTAGTGAGAAAAATAAACCAGGATCTCCTGGACATTGGAGTTTTCTTTTCAATGCCATCTTGGAATAGGCTGGGGTGAGAGAGTTGGATATGAATGGGAGAAAATTTACTTGGGGCAACAATATGCAGAATCCCACGTTTGAGAAACTAGATAGAATTCTGTGTAGCACTGAATGGGAAGAGGCTTACCCCTTGTCCCAAGTAACAGCTCTAACTAGGGAGAAATCAGATCATACTCCTCTTTATTTGGATTCTGGGGATCTCCAAAAAACAGAACCAATCTTCAGATTTGAAAATGCATGGTTTATGAGGGATGGGATTGATGAAGTTGTTCAGAAAGTCTGGAATGATTCTTCCATTAAAGGGGACAACATAGACAGGTTGCTGGGGAAATTTAGAATGTTAAGACCCAAACTTAAAGGGTGGAATAGAAATATGAATGCTTGGTATGTTGAGCTAAAGAAAGATATCCTACTCAAATTAGATATTATTGATAAGAATTGCGAGGTTAATGGCCTTACAGCTGCTAATAGAAAGGAACAGATTGAGTTGAGGGCCCAGCTTGATAGATTGCTCAAACAAGAAGAGGCTAAATGGAAACAGAGAGCCAAGATTGATGAACTGCTAGAGGGAGATAGCAATACTAAATTCTTCCATGCCAAAGCAAATGGGAGACTTAGGAGGAATAAAATTTCTAGGTTAGAACAAGAGGAGGGGGTGATAGAAGGGGATAAGAATTTGATGGAATATATCACTACTTTCTATAAAAACCTATTTGGTCCCCCAGATAATTCCTCTGTTTCTGTAAATATTGATAATCCTATCAGGATTCCGATGGAATATGCTAATATTTTAGTGGATGAATTTTCTTTAGAAGAGATTAAAAAGGTTGTCTTTAAAATGGCACACAATAAATCTCCTGGGCCAGATGGCTTCACGGCTGAATTTTACCAACACTATTGGGAGCTGGTGAAATTTGATTTGAAAGCTCTACTAGATGATTTTGCCAGCAGGAAAATTCACATTAGCAGACTGAATTATGGAATTATAACCCTGGTCCCAAAAGGGATTGGTGCTAATCAAATTCAGAAGTTCAGGCCTATCTGTCTATTAAATGTATGCTTTAAAATTATTACCAAAGTCTTGATGAACAGACTTAATTTGGTAGCTGCTGAGGTCATCTCCCCTGTACAAACTGCCTTTGTTAAGGGCAGATATATCATGGAGGGGGTCCTGATCTTGCATGAGGCTTTGAATAGCATTAAAAAGAATAAGCAAAGTGCTATACTTCTGAAAATTGATTTTGAAAAGGCCTATGATAAAATTAAATGGTCCTTCCTATTTCAAATGCTCAAACTGAAAGGATTTCCATATAAATGGATTGACTGGGTTATGGAAACAGTTAGAGGGGGGAAAGTTTGTGTCAAAGTTAATGAGAATTTAAGAAAATATTTTTGCTCTTATAAGGGCCTGAGACAAGGTGATTCTCTGTCTCCTTTAAATTTTGATCTGGCTGCTGATGCTCTAGCAATTATGTTAAATAAGGCTAGAGAAAATGGATTAGTCAAGGGGGTCTTGAGTGAATATACAAACAATGGGGTTAACATGTTGCAATATGCAGATGACACTATATTCCTGCTACAAGATGATATGGACAGTGCACACAACTTGAAATATATTCTTTGTTTGTTTGAACAAATGTCTGGTTTGAAGATTAATTTTCATAAAAGTGAACTTTTCTTATTTGGTGCGGCAATTGATAAGAAAGATGAATATGCAAAAATATTTACATGCCCGGTGGGTGCTCTGCCTATGAAATACTTAGGGTTGCCTGTTGATAAGAATAGAATTAGAAATAAACATTGGAAGCCTCCAGAGACTAAGATGGAAAAAAATGTGAAACTTGGCAAGGTAGACTGTTAGCTAGTGCTGGGAGAGTTACTTTGATCCAATCTGCCCTCACAGGCATACCCTACTTTATGATGTCCTTCTATGGGCTCCCAATGGGGGTTGAGAAGCGCATGGATTTTTTTAGGGCTAGGTTATTATGGCAAGAAGATGATCAGAAGAGGAAATACCATTTGGTGAAATGGTCTGAGGTTTGCAGGCCAAAGGACATGGGGGGCCTGGGGATACAAAATCTAGCCTGTATGAACAAGGCTTTGCTATGTAAGTGGTGGTGGAAATTATATACAACTGAGGGATTGTGGCAAGATATAATTCTGGAAAAGTATGTTAAAAATAAAAGTGTGGGCAATGTTTTGGCCAAACAGGGAGATTCACAGTTTTGGGGGGGGGGGATTCTAAAACATAGAGATCATTTTGTCTCTCTATGTAAGTTTAAAATTGGAGATGGTAAAAGAGCTAGATTCTGGGAAGATTAGTGGATTGGCAATGCTTCATTAAAAAAGAACTTCCCTAGACTATATGATCTATGTTTTGATAAGAGGAAAACAGTTAAAGAAGTTTTAGCGAATGGATTAGACAATGTCCAGTTTAGGAGAACCCTACTAGGAGATGCAAAAGAATTATGGAGGCATATTAAAGAGGCATGTAGTGTGGTGACATTGAATGAGGAGAGGGATGAGATTAAATGGACTCTTGATAAGAAGGGAGTTTATACTGTTAAGTCCTTCTATAGACACCTGATCGAAAACAGTGTCAAATATCCACACTTGTATATGTGGAAGATTAAAATGCCACCTAGAATTAAGGTGTTCATGTGGTTGGCCCTTAGGAAAAGTACTCTCACAAAAGATAATCTGATTCGTAGGGGTGGAAGGGAGATAATAAATGCCCTTTTTGTGGGCAAAAAGAGGATATAAACCATCTTTTTTTGGCTTGTTCGGTTGCTAGATTATTATGGAACATATTAAAATGTGCTTTCAATCTTAAGGAAATTCCAGATACGCTAGATGTTGTTATGAGAACTTGGGTAAATACCTTTGGTAAAGATGAAAAAAGTCTGGTCATGATAGGAGTCTCAGCGATCTGCTGGACTATCTGGAAACTTAGGAATAGTGTGATATTTGACAACAATAGGGTGAATGATCCCTGTGTTCCTGTTTCCCTGTTTATTAAAAACCTAAATGATTGGAATATTTTGCAGACAAATCCCGCAAGAAGTAAGCTGATGGAGGCTGGAGTGAAGCTAGTAAGTGAGGTGGCAGAAGAAGTATTCAAAGCAGCGCATGGGTGGCGCCTGAAGACTGGGAGGATCGAAGGGTAGCTGAAGCCCTCCTTTGCTGCGATGGATAAATTTTGGCTCTTGCCTTTTCGTGCTGGCTCTGCTCCATTTTGCTGATATTCAGACTAAGTTGATGTCCCTGTAATATTGAGTCTACTATTAAAACTGGTAGTTTTTCCTTGTAGCCTCTGTTCTTATAACAGAGTGTGTTGTCGCTCTGGGGCTAGATTCTACGGAATCTAGACCTTGGACCACTCTTGTAGGTTCCTCCCCGCTGTCTTTGGGTTTTTGGGAGAGGGGAAGGGATGGCTTCTCCTCCTTTCCCAATATGGCAGTGGGGGTGGATCAGTTAGAAGAGTGGAGTCTCGTGTTGGGGGTTGTTATGTTGCTTTTTTCCTTTTTTCTGTAACAAGACTTGGTGATCTCTGTTAATGGAAATCGGAGAGAGCGCTCTCTTTTATCAAAAAAAAGAAGAAGATCGTGTTTGATAGTTTTCCCCTGCAATAATAAAGGATCAGCAGGTTGTGATTCAATAATGGATAGGTTCTGATGTTTATCATCCTTAGGATTGTCGTGGAGAGCTTG